CGGCGCGCCCCGCGTCCACACCTGCACGAACACGCGGCTGTCGGCCGGGACCTCGAGCGGCCCCGCGCGGCGCGGGAAGGCCTCCTCCGCGTCCGACAGCTCCAGACGGAAAAGGGGACGGCGCAGCCAGGGCCCGGGCGCCGCGGGGAATGGGGGCGCTGGCGGGGAGAAAGGGTGACACGAAGCAGGTCGCGCTGCCCCTTAGCCCCTCCAGGCCAGCGGAGCAACCTTCCCGCCTCCTTTGGAAAATGGATGCTGTTGCGGTGAGGGATTCCCCGGTGCTCGGTGCTGGCAGAGTAGGCATGGTACGTCCCCTGAAGGTCCGGGGGCCGCCACAGCCCAGCAGCCGAGGCTGGGAGCAAAAATGCGCGCCTCTGGGGAGGAGCCCCCCTTCCCAGACCTGGATCTCCACCTCCACAGCGGACCTGGGACTCCCTGGCGGGGCAGGGTTGAAGGGTGCCTGACGGGGGGGCGGGAAAGGCGGCCAGGCTGGGTGAGGTCAGCTACCCAAGGGGCCCAGCGCCCGCTTGGGGGAGGGTGCTGCCCCCCCCCTTCCTTTCCAAGGTTACCGTGAGCAATGGGGAAGGGGAGAAGGAAGGTGCTGTCTCTCTGCCCCTCTGGCACAGCTGGAGCCCAGCCGGGCCACCAGGGTCTCCGGCCTCTCCATTTGTCCAGGTTCCTTACTCCCAGACCGAGCACAGCAGCAACACGGGGTGGGGACCCACATGCACCCACACCCCCTCTGCCGGAGGGAGGCACTCCGCTGGGGTCCTTGTCAAATAATGTTCTCAGGACAGTCCCCACACGTTTCCTAAAAGCATTGGTACACCGCTCTCCCACGGTCACTGGCATCAGTGTACCTGCTGGGGCCTCTGAAGAAGTTGGGGGTCCAGGAGAAGGATCTGGAGACGGGAGACAGAGGCAGAGCCCACCTGCCCCCCCCGCCCGTTCCCCCAGGCAAGGCAGAGGGGCGGTGGAGCCGAGAAAGGGCAACACGGGGATGGCAGCCTGATGGGCCGTGTCCCCAGCCTCTACGTACCAGGCGGTCCGCTGGGCAAGGTGGCGACCCCGGGGAGCAGGGCCAGCAGCAGGAGCGTGGCACCCAGCATGCTGGACCGGCGCCCCCGAAGTGTGCCCCAGGAGTGCAGCTGCCCGCCAGATGGCACCCAGGCCCGACAGGTGGGCAGGCAGCCCTGTCCTTGGCTGAGCAGCCACCCCAGGAGGCGGGGGCGGTGGACTGAGGGGTGTGCATCAGAGCTGGCGCCCAAGGTCTGCCAGGGATTAAGGGCTCCTCTCTGGCCAACCTGTGGCTGGCGGGGTGGTGGGGAGGGAGGTCCGGCACACTGGTCACTTGATACGCAGCAACTCACTACAAATACGACCCTTCCGGGCCCAGCTGGGCTTCAGTCCCCCGCCCGGGTGCAGAGGCCCCAACCCCTGGAATGGCATGGCTCCCCCCGCCCCCACCCCCGCCGAAGTTCAGGCCTCACAGCCCCTTCCCACCTCTTGCTGCCCCGGCCTGCCAAGCTCAAGACACACCACAGACTCCGTGGAAGAAAAGGGAGGGGTTTTATTCTCAAGCGTCTAAGGATTTACAAACGGGGGCATTTCGTTTTTAAAAAGGGCTGGGGGAATACTGGCGACCGGGGAAGGGGTCGAGGGCCGGCGGCCTCAGCCAAGCCGCCCCAGGCCCCTGCCCGCCCGCCCACCCGCTCCCCCCTCTGCCTGGTCAAGAAGGATGGCTGGTGACTGGCGACGGAGGGAGAGGACAGGAAAGAGGCAGAGGGGAAGAAGAGGTTCCCCCAGAACCCCCCACTTCACGCAGAAGGGGGGCAGGGGCGGGCAGACGCACTCACAAAACAGAATATAGTTAAATAAAAATAAATCCAGGTGGCTGGCCCCAGGGCCTTCACTGGCCCTGGGCCCAGCCACGGAACCTTCCAGCTACCCACAAAGGCCACGCCTCCCCTCCCCTCCTTGGCTGGGCCAGGTGAGGGAGGTGGGGGACCAGGCCTGTGGGCCCCCCACCCTGCCCCCATCCCCTCACAAAGGGGACCAGGGCAAGAGCAGGTGGCCGTTTCCCTCCCGGGCGGGGGGCAGAGAGCAGAGAACTCGAGGACTTTTGAACATGCGGCGTTTTGTGAGTTTGGAGCAGAACGAGAGTCCGCAGGACAGACCGGATACAGCGATGCCTAGGCCTAGACTGCGTCCGCTCCGTCCGGCCAAGTTCCTCACCTTTGGTGTTGGTTGGTTTTGTGGTTCTGTGGGTTTCTGTTTTTGTTTTTTTGTTTTGTTTTGTTGTCCACTTAATTTGCATGCATCACCAACAAAAAGGAAACACACCCCCTCCCATTCCAGCTGCTACAGAGGGCGCGGTGCGGACTGGCCAGCTCTGGGGGAGTCGAGGGGCGCTCAGGGGCACTCCAAGGGCGTGACTGCCTGCACACGCCCAGCCCTCAGCCAGCCCCACCTCTGTCCTGTCACACGTCCTCAAACCCCCACACCCGCCCCTTGCACCCTCGATCCCTGCCTCCCCGGGGCCCCGGGGCCCCACTCCTGCCACTGATCCCCTCCACCACCTCCCTGCCGCAGCAGCGTCCGCTGCCCTCACCGTGCCCTGCACCCGCCTTCCCTGAAGGCCACCCCGTGTGGCCACGGCCCCTCGGGCTCCCTCCACGCCCCCTGAGGTCCTCAACTCACCCCCCCGAGCTGTGGCCAGTCTCCAGCCCTGAGGGCTGGCCCCGAGGGAGGAGGAGCCCCCCAGAGCCCACCTTTGGGGCTCGGCCCCGCACCCCGGCCCCAGACGCCTGTGCCCACAGGCGGTCAGGGGGCTCCACCACAAGCAGCTAAACATGACTTTGGTAAAAGTTTCTGAAGGTACCGACAAACCCCGTGAGAACAAGCTCTTTGCCCCCCCACCCCAAACACCCCACCAAGTACAATAAAATACAATAAACTCCAAAAAGGACCCCCTGAGATCAAAGAGAGAGAAAGAGAGAGAGAAAGAGAGAGAGAGAGAGAGAGAGACCAGCCCAAGCCCAGCTGCAGTCGTAACGCCCAGCCTGCCTTCCTGGGGCGAGGACACCAGCTGACGGACTCGCCACTGCCGGAGACCCAAGTGGACCCAGGAGTCCCCCAGGGGGGGCTGGCAGGGGGAGCCCGAGTATGGGCCAGGAGAGAGGCAGAGGCAGGGAGGGAGATGGGGAAAGCCAGAGAGGTAGACAGGGGATGGAAGAGAGGGGGGATGGAGGCAGGGAGCATGTCTGCGGAGGGAGGCGGAGGGGACAGCACACGGCGAGTCGGGGGGGAGGGGCGGGACGGGCGGCTCTCTCCCGGCCCCTGGGGGCCGCCCCAGCCCAGAGGTTACGACTGAATAAATAGCGAGTCTGCTCGTGGCCTGCTGTCTTCCGTTCACAGTGTCTGTCAGGGGGACGCGCACGGCCGGCTGACCCCGGGAGGCCGGCTGACCCCGGGACGGGAAGGGCTGGGGCCTGGCGAGCCCATCTGTCCACGGCTGGTGGGCAGGGGGCTGGGGGTGGGTCGGCACCCCCTACTTTCTGTCCTCAGCCCTCAGCAGCTGTCCAGGTCCCAGGTCTCCCCTGGTGGGCAGCTAGGTGGCCAGGTGGGGAAGGGGGGCCTGTGGCCATGCCCCTGGCCCCCGGTGGGGCTGGCCGCCACCACGTGGCTACCTGAAGAAGGGCAAGTGGTGCTGGCTCAGGACTCCGCTAGTCCTCGGTGACTCAGTCTTCGCCATGACGTCCTTGAACCAGGATGCCACATCTACCTCCAGCATCTCATAGCGCTTGATGAAGCTGTGTTCCTGTGGGCCAAGGGGTGGGGCTGAGGACGAGGGAGGCTCCCCTGGGGCGGCTGCTCAGGCCCCAGGCGGACGTCCCGGTGGGAGGGGGCGGGAAGGGGCCCCAGGTACTCACAAGCAGCTTATTATACTTTGGTCTCTTCCTGTGATCCTTAGTAAGGCTGAAGGAGAAGCAAAGAAAAGTAAGAACCGGGGAAGGAGAGGCCTGGCTGCCCTGGGGACTCAAGTGTCCCGGCTCCGAGATGGGGGTCTTCAGAATCTCGGGGAAGGAGCTGCTGTGTGCTCGCGGCCCAGGGCTGCTTGCTGAAAAGCCCGAGGACCCAAGGCCTGCACTTGGGAATCCCGCCTGTGACAGAAGCCCAAACTGGACTGTGAGGGGCTCGTGGGGGAGGTGAGCGGGGCTCTCCCACGGGACAAGCAAACGTGGACACGACGCAGGCAGGATTCGGCTTGCAGTGGCTGGACGCACAGAGCCCCTGGCGCTGGGGCCTATCTGCTGTCCACAACCTTCCATGGCAAAGGGCAGGCTCAGGCCAGGGCCAACCCTGACTCCTAATGCCCAGGGCTCCGGGCCCAGCTCCTGCCTGCATCCCTGCTGGGGGCGCTTCCACAGTGGGGGTGGGGGCTTCTCCGTTCAGTCTGGCCCCGAGCCCCCCTAGAACCCAGGCGGGCCGGCGGGCTCCTCACCAATCTTTGACGAAGGACTGAAAGTCCCCTGAGAAGCCCATGTGGCCGGGCAAGAGCGGGGGCTCTTCCTGTAGGACTTTGGTGAGGACTTCAAAGTCTGTCTTGCAGTTCTTGTAGGGAAACTGTCCCGTCGCCAGCTCCACCTAGAAGAGAGGACCGGGCTGGACGGGCTGAGCACGGGTTCCTCCCCTCCCTTCCGCCTCCTTCTGGATCCCGAGGAGATGCTGCCCAAAAGGCGGGGGCCCCCACTCACCAAGGAGATGCCCAGGCTCCACACATCGGCCCGGATGTCGTAGTCTGGCTTGGTGGGGTCCGGGGGGTCTATGCGCTCCGGCTGCCGGCAGGAGAAGGGGAGGATGTACCCCCAGGCCGGTGCGGGCGCGCCGCCCCGATCCCCCACGCCCGCCGCCCGCCCGCCCAAGCGCTGCGGGGCTCCCACTCACGGCCATGTAGGCGGCGCAGCCAGCGCTGCGCGTCTTGGCCTTGGAATCGACCAGACGGCCGCTGATGCCAAAGTCACAGAGCTTGATCTGGCCCCGCTCGTCCAGCAGGATGTTGGAGGGCTTGACGTCACGGTGGATCACGCCGTGCTTCTCCTTCAGGTAGTAGAGCGCCTTCACGATCTGCAGCGAGGACAGCGGGAGGGCACCAGTGACGGGAGGACGGGGCCCAGGGGGGACGACCCAGCCGGCCGCACCCCTGCCCGGTCCGCTCACCGCCACCGTCATCTTGCCCAGGATCCGCTCGGGGATGGGGCCCTGCACCCGCTTCTTGAGCTTCTCAGCGCACGTGCCCATGAGCTCCATGGCAATGAAGACATCCGTCTGTGGGGGCAGCACAGGGAGGCTTGGGCACGACTGCAGCCCCTACCCACCCCCCCCCGCCACGGACTCCAGCCGTGGAGGAGACCCCGCGGAGCCCCCAGAGAGGCAGGGGAGCAGCGGAGGCCACCGGCCGGGCGCACACTCACATTCGTGATGAAGGTGCCAAAGCACTGCACGATGTAGGGACAGTCGTGGCTCTTGAGCACCACGTCCAGGTCCATGAGGATCCGCTTGTTCTCCTCCTTATTCCCGGAGCGCCGCATTTGCTGCACGGAGGGCCAGGGGAGCCTTAGTGCCGGGGTCTCAGGGCAGGGGAGGGGCGCCCACCTGGGGCGGGGCTCACCTTGACGGCAATGATGTGGCCTGTCTTCCGGAAGCGCATCTTCCACACCTGGCCGCACGTGCCGCTGCCCATTTCCCCCAGGTTCTCCAGATCGTTGATTTCTGCTTGGTAGCGCTGGTAAGGACAGCCAGAGCTGGAGGATGGGCCAGGCCTGGGGCACCGCCCCCACCCCAAGGCCTAGCCCCGAGGTGCGTCTTGCCCACCCCCCAGGGGGCCAGGGCCAGGGTAGTACCTGGCCCCCGATGGTCAGGTAGCCCGTCTGCTTCATGATCTCCTGCAGCTTCTGGTCAATCTCGATGCTGGGGGGGACAGGGAGGAGGTCCCGGTGGAGGAGGATCCCAACCAAACCGAGGCCACCCCAGTCCCCAACACACAGGGGTTCCCCTAGATTTAACCACCCTCCTCTCTGGGGCAGGCGAAGTGACCCCTGCCCCACCACTGGCCAGCTGGGCCCGTCCCAACAGCTTACCTCTCCATGCTGCGGGGCATGAACAAGGTTGGCGGAAGCCCCAGCATGTTGCGGGGCCGGGCAGGGGGCGTGGGGTGCTGTGGGGAGCTCTCGGAGGACGGTGAGCGGCTGCCCCCATCATTGGCCAGTGGGAGCTGGAGGGCTGGGGGGGGTGAGAACCAAGGGTGAGAGGGGGTTAGCCACCACCTGGCACTCTGGGGCCTTGGGACTCTGTCTCCCCCTCCCTGGCACCAGGTAGGTCAGCACAGACCCCCCAGCCCCCACCCCATTGGGCTGGAGGAGCTAGCGTCTCCCTGACCACTCTCAGGGTACCTTCTCCCACCCCCCTGACCTGGAAGAAGATGGAGTAGGCTGGCAGGGAGAGGTGGTCCTCAGAGGCTGAGGGACTGTCCCCAAGTCTATGCTGACACGGATCACGGCCCAGAGACTGATGACATCCTTCAGCCAGGCAGCCTTCCTGATATGTCCCTTTCCTCCCCACCTCTGCCCAGGAAGCAGACCCAGGGCCACAGTGCCCACACTCTGGACCATGTGAGGAAGGAATGCCTGCCAGGATCAGCCTGGGTTCTGGGCCTATTGGCAGCACTGACCCTGGCTGCCCAATAAGAATCAGGCAGACCACCCCAGGGAGACACTGGGCGAGGGCCCCACACTTCCAGCTGCCTTGCCCCACGTTCTGTTCCAGGGTCAGGGAGGGCCACCCTCTAGCCAGCAGGCTCATCTCTGAGCCTCCCAGCTTGGCCTGCAAAGCTGGGACCAATGGGTGGGGGCAGGCCCCCAGGCTGGGCCTCTGTCCTTGGGGTGAGGGGATCCAGGTGGCACAGCCCCTCCAAGGGCTGGTGGGATGGGGGGGTGGGGAGTGGGCCAGGCGGTGGGGGCTTCTCAGCAGCCTGCATGCGGACAGCTTGGGCATGCTACAGGCAGGCGGGCAGGCAGCGGGCAGGCAGCGGGCACCCCGGGACGGGCAGGCGGCATTCGGGGATCGGGAGGGCAGGAGACAGACAAGACAGATGGGAGCCAAGACTTGGGGCCCAGCTGCCCAGAGGAGGCACTGCAGAGACAGGCCGGACAGGGGCCCGGGACAGAACAGTAGGTTCCCTGGGGGCTAGGATCCTCCCTGGCTGGGCTGGCAGTAGGGTGGGAACAGAGATCTGTGTGGCCCCTGGAGAAGACAGATAATCCTCCACTGAAGCCTCGTACCCCAGACGCCCTGGTGCTCCAGAAGGGGGTCCCTAGCTGGGTAGGGCACTGGCTGAAAGAGTCTCCAAGGGGGCCAGAGAGGACCTTCCTGTGGAGAATGGCTGGCCGGGAGCCCTGGGGCCTGCCACTCTCCCACAACCCTCAGCTGATGCCCCCTTCTCTGCCTACACCCCCTGCCACGCTCCACGCTTTCCTCCCACAGTTCTGCAAGCACCTGGTAACGTGGGCCCAGTGACCAATGGACAGAGACAAATATGCTCGAACTGCTGGCATCTGGGTACTTTCCCCACATTGTTACCCTGGGCCCCTGACCACATCCAGAGTGAGGGAGCAGGTACAGGATCCTAACCTGCAGTCATAGAAGGGACATAGGTCTTGCTAAGGCCTGCTCAGAGCAAAAGAAGAGCTCGGGAAGGCCCAGGGAGATGGCCAGGCCCAGCACCTGCACGGGCCTGGAGGCCTCACCTCCTGAGCACCCTCCCTGCTGCTCTAGTCCCTGGCTTTGTAGTGTCCTTGCTTCACTCCTCTGTCATGGTCAAAGTCCTAATCCCTCCCTCTCTCGCTCAACCACCTCAGGGGCACCTGAGGGGCCCCCCAATGCTCCCCTGTACCTGGACTCTCTGAGGATACTGCCAGGCTCTCGCCCCCTGGGGGTATCTGGGCCCTTTTTCTGCCCTGCATGGTCAGCTCCTCTCTGGGGTGAGGACCACATCCCTACCCTCTCCACACTTCTGGGGTGGGGGGGACAGATGCTTCCAGTGGCCCTACAAACTGAAACACGGTGGGGACTTGAGGGGGGCTGGTGTAGGGTGGCTAAGGTGGGGGAAGGGAGGAGGTACACAAAGGCCCTGAGAACAGAGGTTACAGAGGTGGTGACAGGCCACGCGGCAGGTCAGGAGGGCACAGTGAGAGCAAGAGGCTGAGTGAGAGAGAGAGAGAGAACAAGAGAGCGCATGGAAGCACACGGCTAACGGGGGCCACAGACGCACCAGGCTGTCAGTCCGACACACATGCACGCGTGTGTGCGCGCGCACACACACAGGACGCGGCAAAACCCCACACGCACACAGACGATACGCCGAGAGCCCTGAACAGAGCCAGGCCCACGCTGTCTTACACACACACACACACACACACACACACGCGTGCGCGCACACACACCCCTGCCCCAATCTAGTTCCACCTACACAAGGGCCAACAGGGCCAGACCCCACCCAGCTGTCTGTCTCTCTGTCTCTTGTGCTCACTCACACACACACACACACACACACACACCCCCGCACACATCTGCTCCAGACCCGCTAGTGACTGCGCTCAGGCCCCGGCCGGCTGCTTCCGCCACCTTCAATCTCCGGCTCCCCGCCTGCCACGACCCGGTGCTCAGATCCCAGCTTCTCCAGAGGCTTCCCTGACTGACCACCCCCTGAAGAACCGGCCTTTTCTACAAGGCATCACTGCTTTCTCCACCTCTCCCGGACTGGGAAAGTGCTCACTGTCCGTGAGCGTCAGCCACGTGTCGAGTGGCCCGCGGTCCCTTCTGTCCACTGCTGTGTCCCGAGTCGGGCGATGCGTGTTCGCTGTGCTGTTGAAACAAATCAACAGGCACAGCGATGGCCTGGCGCAACTCTCTCTCTCCCCCTTACACGCGCGCGCACACTACACACGCGCGCACATACATGACCCCTTACACACACGCGCGCACACGTGACCTCTCACAGGCGGCAGACTCCCGGTGGGTAAAGGAGCTCACTTCCTCTTCCAGGGAGTCCAAACCTGAGCCCACCAGGAAGGGAGGAGTGGAAGGCGAGTGGACACAGAAGAAGAGGCCAAGTGGGCTGAACACTGTTGATCGCTGATGGTGTGGAAGGAGAGAAAGTAAGAGTGACAGGCGCGCACGCGCACACACAGCATGGGGGGTGGGGGAGGGCATTCTGCGGCGGGGCAGCGGTTAGGTCAATGGTGCAGATGTCCAAGCGACGATGATAAAAAGGCTGGTACCTGCTCGTTGGGACGGGGCAGGAGCAGGGCTTAGAGTGATCACAATAACTGGATGGGGAAAAGGAAGAAAAAAAACAACACCACGATAAATCACAACAGAAACAACTGATTTGTCCAAAAGAAAAGAAATCAAATCATAACGAAGAAGAGAGGGAGGCGCGAGGCACCAAACTGCAGAGACGGGTAGAAACCGACAGAAATGGGAGGACCGGGAGCATGGGATGGAGCTGACAGACACAGACGCCTGGAGGGGGCTCCTCAGGGGCCTTCCCGCCGTGGGTCTCACTGTACCTCGCTCTGCACCTGGGACAGCCACCCCATAAGGCAGCCCCGGCCCCATACCCAGCCCTGTCTCATCCATGCCGGGGCTAGGGGAGGCAGCACCGCACAGCCCAGCAGGGACCCTCCAGTCCTGGGAGGGCTTTCCGCCCCAGGGAGGAACCCACGCTACCCCAAGTCAGAAGAGTGAGGGATGAGGAGTGGACCGCACACAGGGACTGGGGGCGGTCAGGCTGTGAAGGTCAGGCTGGGTGAGCAGGGAGTGACCTCAATACCCCGATATGGGGGTGTGTGCCCCCTCCTACCAGGATGACCCCACAGGGAGCTACATAAGCTACAAGGATCATATCAGAAGTACAAAGGAGGGCCATTCACTGTTCTGTAGAGACGCAAAGTGTGTGGTGGGGTGCTATTCATCAGGTCTGTGGGGAGGGTGAAGACCTGATGCCCTCTAGCTGAGAGATTTGGGGAGGGCGTTTCGTGGGACATAAAGAAACTAGACAGTGGTTGTGGTAATCCCAGGCCAGGTGTGAGTGTTGGGGGAAGGAGGAGCAGCTTTTGATTCCAGATGATAAAATGCCAGGGAGGTAGTCACAGAGATAGTGGGATCAGAGAGAAGTGTACGTGGGCTGGGAGGTCGAGATATCACCACACTGGCCTCACGTACCCCTAGGCCAGGTGAGTGTGGGTGTGCAGGGAAGAGTCCAGGTGAGGAAAAGCTGCTACTAGGCTGGGGGTTGGGTGTGTATTTTTGGAGAAGCTAGACAGTCCCCAAGATGGTGGCAGTGAAACCAGTCAGAGAAGTCTGAGGGGGCCTGGTGTATGTGGGTAGGGTGTGCGTGGGAGGGGGCCTGCTAGGCCCAATGACAAGGTCCCAGCCTGGGAAAAAGGGATTACTGGGCACAGTCACAGGGAAAGAGGTCAGAGGAATAGGGAGTTATATGTGGTCAAACGACCTCAGGTGTCACCCGGGCCAGGTGCGCGTGTGTATGAGTGTGAGTGGATCATCCACTGAACCATCTGACGAGGACCCAGGTGCGGAATGGGGCAAGGGGCCTCCTGCCAGGCACTGAGACGGCAGGAGCGAAATCATCTGGTCGGAAAGGGCGTCCGTGTTTGCGAGGAATCTGGATGTGGTCGCGGTCGCGTGGATTAGGGGAGCGCGGCTCCGGGTAGGTGAGGGTGACACAGGCTCCGAGGATCACGGTGAGGGGGCGGGTCATCAGGTGGGGGGCCCTGCCCTGGGGCCGGGTAACTGGGTTCGTAGGCCCCGTAAGGGGGAACCCCTACGTTGGAGGAGGACCGCCCGGGAGCCCGCGGCCCCACGCCCCCCGGGTCACCGTGACCCTCTCCCCGCGAGCCGACAGCAGGGGGTACAGGGTGGCGAGGAGGAGGAGCAAGAGCGCCCCGGAAGCGGGGGCGGGGCCTGACGACGGGGGCGGGGC